CCCCCCCCCCCCCCCCCTCCCCCCCCCCCCCCCAGGTCCAACTACACCCAGCCCAAAATTGACCACATAGCAACCTCTCCAACTAACGCGAATTTGGCAACGCATGCTTGACCCTGATGAAGAAGCCTTCTGTTACAGCGATGTCAACATACTGCAAAAATCAAAAGGACCCTTGAGAGCATTACCATCTACTGTAGACAGACCTTGACATCAATGGCGTACAAATGTTTTTCAAAACGTTGCTTAGTGAAAGCTCGAAATCCAGCTCCAGATTCAACTCTTTGAGTCAACTGTACGTTGTCACCTAGTCACTAAGTGGTCAATTTATGGGCACAACCAGTTGAGCGTAGCCTGTGACTACTTGAGCGTGGCCTTTATCGGATCTGAGCAGAGTTCATGCCCCACCGCGCAACCGCTGCCCTCGAACACCTACGCTAATCTTTCGAAAGTTATTTCCAAACTCCTTCTGGTCAACTTAGAAGCGATTCAGAGACGTAATGCTAAATTGTTCGTCCTAAGCAGTTTTCATGGTTCTTTTGGGTGGGCAAGGCAATGATATTGTCTACCATGACGACCCTTTCCGCCCGGCGGAGTGCCCTCGAAAACCATGACCAACGGTTGGTTGGAGGAATTACCCACGAGAAGTTTGAATGTGATTCCTGGAGAAGAGCAGGAGGTCGCACTTGGCCAGAAGCGTGTGGGGGAAGTCTCGTTGAGATGTTAAAAAAAACGCATGTTACATTTTCTTGTCACGCATATTTCGAAAATTGGAAAATTCACGCATATTTCGAAATTTCGAAAATTTTCGAGTTTGAAATTTTTTAGTTTTTCCTTTCCATAGTCATTTAAACCCTTCCTAGGTTTGAAATTATGTGAAAAAAGGACCACGGACCTCATTGATAGGACCATCACTCGTTACATGGTAAGGAGCACAGAAAGTCCTATAAACTTCACCAGAGCACTGAGGGGAAAGGGGGGAAGACAAAGAATGTTCCCAATTTGCCAAACCATGGTTCACCCAACCTGGTGGTGCCCTTTCCACACTGTTGCTATATGCATCATTCCCAGAACTCAG